CTTACTTAATATTTAGAAAAAATCATAATTTGAAAGCTTACAAATTTCCTCTACTGAGTGACTGCAAATATTCCGGAATAATTACGTTCGAAGACATATTATTGCTAAATTACGAAACACAAAATCTTTAATTGGCTCTACTGAAATATATGTACGAAATTTCGAGTTGTGTCGTTATCGACGACGAAAAGTTGAAATAACATTTTTATCGGTAAAAAAAAAGCGACAAAATATTGCTAAGTATCCAAAAATGTGATCGAAATAGTTTTCGAATGGTTTTATTGTATCCTGATATATGTTTTCTTAACTGATCCTCTAGTTTTCGTTAAAAATTCAACGACACATGCGGACTTTCAGAGAAAAATTTAGTGAAAAAATCCAAACCCGTTTTAGGCAAAGTTTTGATTTGCAAAATTTGTATAGGATCATGAGCCAATACGGCAAAACGGTAAACACCATTGAATTCAGCGTACTTAAGTTATCTAGAACTACCTATCGCAAGTCTGTCAGATTTTTCAACTGCAACGGTGTAACTAGTTAGTTATAGATTAACTATGCACGAGGCACTTACCAAGTTTTTTATGAGCCCATAAAATTTCCTAATAGAATATTCATAATTTGAGGAACATGTATATACCTAACAAATTTTGCTCAATATTTTTTCACTTACACGGAACTCTTAGAATGGAAAAATATTTTTTTTCATGCATTTTACACTTTAGTATCAAATTTAATGTATAACTAATCCTATAATTTTGTAGTACAGGCCGGCGTAGCTGCAACAAACAAAAACCGGCCAGTTATAACGTGCCTTTGATTTTTATTATTTACAGTAAATTTAAACCCATAAAAAAAGCACAATTTCAATATATGTATTTTTAGTATCGTAAATACAATTTACTGAAAGTATATATGCACCTGCACATGCAGCTTACCAAGTACCCTATAGGGGTACATATAGGTATTTATATGCAAGGCCGTATTTAGGGGTGTTAAGAATTTCTTACTTGTTTTTTTTTGAATTGAAACTTCTTTAGCGGCGGTTGGTTGGTTGGGAGTAAATTGGCAAATTCAACGGAAATTGCACACGGAAATGTTGCAACGGAAATGATGAAACGGAAGTGATGCAACGGAAATGGTTGGGGCTGAAACAAGTACTTCTTGTGTGTATGCAACGGCAATGGTGCAACGGAAGTGGTGCAACGGAAGTGGTGCAACGGAAGTAGTGCAACGGAAATGGTTGGGGCTGAAACAAGTGCTTATTGTGTGTATGCATATGGTATTAATTTAACAAAAATTTGCTAACAAAAGGTTAAAGAATAACACTTAGAAAAAGACCAATACAAGAATGAAAGTAAAGGTGACTACGTACATAAATGAGGAAAAGGATAAAGGCAAAGGTAAAAATAAAAACAATAACAAAGATGCGTAAAGACAAAGGCAAAAATTAAGACCAATGTAAATTTAAACACTTTACATATATATATAAGGGAAAATCTGAAGGGGAATATGTAGCTGAAAAAAATGATGAACACAAAAGTAAAGACAAAGAGGATAATGAGGATACCGATAAAAGCAAAGATGAAGATAGGGGAAGAAATATTGAAATAGAGGTAATTAAAGAGGAAACGATATAGAGAGAGACACAGAGACTCAATCTGGGAACTATTTTGGGATCTTAGAGATTTTCGGGATCCTCGAGACTTGTCGATAAAACAGTCGATATTTTTATCGGTTCTGTTACGATATTTATTGATTTTGTTATCGATATTTATCGATTTTGTTATCGATATTTACCGATTTTGTTATCGATATTTATCGATTTTGTTATCGATAATTATCGATTTTGTTACCGATTCTTATCGATTTTGTTATCGATATTTATCGACTATGTTAGCGATATTTATCAATTTTGTTATCGAAATTTATCCGATTTTGTTATCTATACTTATCGATTTTGCTATCGATATTTATCGATTTTGTTATCGATATTTATCGATTTTGTTATCGATATTTATCGATTTTGTTATCGATATGAATCGATTTTGTTATCGATATTTTTACCGATTTTCTAATCGATTTAGCTACCAATGGTATTATCAATGTTGCTATTGAAATTTTGATCGAATTTGTCACCGATTTTGTTATCGATATTTTGATGGACGTTATAATCGACTTTGTTATCGATAGAGTATAAAGATAAAAATGAATATAATGGACAGAATAACATCAATGTTATTAAAACAAACAGTGGTAGAGGGATCTACATTGATAGAAAAAAAGCAAAAAAAATATAACCTTAAGCAAAAGCAGATGTGTGTATTTATAGATAGATTAGTAACGTAAGTTTCATTTCTACAGTGTGGCCCAGGCGCACTTACTTTTTTTTGTAGTCAAAAGATTGGTACAATACAGCAATCTTCTATTGAAAAATTCCAACAAATTATTCTTCGTGATTGGAATAAAGAAAAATATTTGGGTATTCACACAATTGGGGTACGATTTGCACCAAATTTCGGCAAATACCCAATCGTGTGACACTGCCTTTAAAGTTTTATTTATACGGATGTTGTTTAAGAATGAACTATAAAAAACGAACAAAAATTAAATAACAACAAAAATAATATGAAAGTTTTCAAAATTTGCTGAAGCTATAATTTTGCGACTACTGTACATAAGTTGACTATGACTACTCGGCCGTGCTATCACAGTGGCACAATGCCACCAATATTTGACTTACAAACGAAATACGGGCAGGAATTTTAAAATTTCAACCCTGTTTGTGTGAAGTATTTTATTTGAATCAGTATTTTTCTTTTAATCAATCTATGTTAAAAAGTGAAGTGAAAATAAAAAAATATTTTGTCAGAACCAAAAATCCTAGCTACAGCCCTGTACGTACATATGTTTTGAAAAAGAAAAAAAATATTCCATAGTTTATTTACTCACACATGCAACTGTTCATTTGAAATTGAAAACAACTAAAAAAATTATGTTTACAAAGCTGTGCGAGTACAACTACTTCCGGCCTTAATTTTTCCAAATAATTAATTCACCGACCACCGGGCATTTTCCAAAAGTAAATAAACATTTTTCATCTGATTTCACAGACTTTGCCTTTTTGTTTTCTTTTTCTATATGCTAACTTAGGCTATCTGCGCACTTGTCGTCCAATCATAGTTGCGTTATCGTCTCGCCCTGAAATTTTGAGCCGAGCACATGCATTTCAAAGAAGATCTGCACACTCGTCGTTATCGGCTAGCTATCGGCAAATCGTAGAAGTTGCAGAAACGGATAACTACGGCACATTAAAATTTTTTGCATAAAATTTGTGGAAATTATTAAAAAGTGGATAATTGCAATTAAATTCAATAAACTTGAGAGTTTTAACTAGAAATATGATGTGAAAAATTATGTCTAGAATTGTTGCAGCACAGTCCATATTTTAAAAATTGCAGGTTGCTGTAAATATTTCGCGAAAATATCGACCAGAAAATCAGAAAATACCTGCTCCAAGTGAATTTTTAGACGCCAAATGAATTGAAATATAACGACCGTGTGTGCGAAAGTGTAGTCGTCATGTAATCGCAAAGCAACTACGATTGGGCGACCAATGTGCATAAAGCCTTAGTTTATTAACAATGCTTTGCGATGATTTAATCTTTCATTATCGCCTAATTGTGTATGTATTTACCAATCACCCGCACCGCTTTTCCCACGCACTGGCGCTTTTGCTAATACCCTCTCGTCATTTCATTCACTTCATTAGCCATCGGGCCTTAATGGCACTGACTCTTCCTCTTTTATAAATAAATACTCGAAGATATGTGTGTAGTGCGGTGTGTGTCAAAATGTATGCGATACTCAGATCAAAGCATTGCTCTTTGCTACTTGTGCGATTGTGCGCAGACAAGTTGGACGGACAAAAAGATATTTAGCGAAAATATTTATTTGAGAAATTGGGTAATTTGTAAAAGCTTCACGCGAATATACCTTGCTGGAAATTTTGTGGCTCAAGGTAATAATTTTGTGACAAAAATAACTGCATATGCATATATAAGTACATACATATGTATGTGTCTTTCATTAATAGTTAATTTTTTAAAACTTAAATTGAAGTGCATTTAATTTGTTGATTTTAACCTATTGAATATACGCCAAACTTATTATTCGCCTAGTAAGAACAAAACAAATTAGAAAGACCTTGAAAATTTTTCAATTCTCTTTTTTCGCGAAATTTTTTTCTTAGCTGGGTTTCGAGCTGTTTCCGCAAGCAATTATTAATTTAGTTTTGGTGGATATTTACTACGTGGTGCCTGTGACGTGTTTGCCGAACACATTTCTTTTTGATTTGGATTAAATTTTTTCATGGAAGGCGGATGCCATGAAAGAGAATTTAAAATAAACTTTCAAAAATAGGTAGCAACAATTTGCTAGAATGAAAAGTTTAGCGCTAAAATTAAAATAAATTATTACCAAAATATTATTTGTCGTTAATTTATTTTTTTTTTGCAAAAATATGTATGTACATATGCCTACGTGCATGTGTATGTTGCTATTTATCAGCATTCAGTAGAAATTTTCCACCGATTTGAATAATTGACTAAATTCTTCAATCAAATTTATTGGCTGCATTTTTGACACATGTGCCGTTTTCCATTTAGACAATGTTTATGTATTAGACCGGGTCGATTCGCATACAATGAAAAAAAATTTGTAATTTAACCCCTAATTAAATCGGTTAACTCCTTTGGGACCAAAGGTAACCTTTTTCCCAAAATGTTTTGCGCTCGTGAGAATGTTGTATGCTTTTGGAGGTTTTGTTATTTAAATTTTATCTTCAAATTTTAGAAAAAAATATTTAAGCACAACATTTTAGGAAAAATACTTAAAAAAATATAGGAATTTTTAATCAATTATTAGAAAAAATAGTTTTTTTTTAGAAAGAAACTAGACAATAGTTAGGTATAAATTAAAAAAATATAAAATATTTTGGGATTTTTGAAAAAATAATAATTTTTTTTTGACAAAACCTAAAGATATTTTTATAAAGATTTAATATGCATGTACATCAGAATATTTTTTGATTTTTTTTTTCTATTAGAAAAAGATATAATTTTTTAAGAAAAAAAAATATATACCTATATTTAAGAAAATAATTATTTCGCCAAAATCATATGAAACAAATTTTTAGGTAATAAATATGTAGATATTTATTGGGAAGAAAATTTTTTTTTGTAAAATTTTTTTATTCGCTAAAATAATAATTTTGATTGCATGAATACATTTTTTTTTACCAAATATAAACATTTTTGGATTTTGGAAGAAAGCAAGTTTTCAAGAAAAATATAATTACTAACCAAAGTTAAAACAAAAACCTTGCCGAAAATTTTAAAAAATTTGTTTCGAAATATTTTTTTTTAATTGCTCTTAAAACAGTCTGAACTTCCTGACTGAAGTTTAAACATGAAACATTGTCGAAAGTGTATTTTTCAGGACTATCTATGTATTCCATAGATAAGTAATAGTTGCTTTCTATTGAGTCGAAGGGCATATGATTCCAAAGGCAAATATACTATGTAATATATTTCTGAAGATTAATGGCATTATTCATAAAAATAAGATAAATTTAAAGACCTCTATAAAGTGACATTCATTTCATAAAATTTTTCGATTTATAGAGCAGCTAAAATCTTCTTTGTTTTTTATGAATTTGAGTGTAAATGTGTATGAACTTCTTTTCTGTCGTTTATATGTATACCAGAAATGTTTATGACTACAAAATCCTGTAGAATATAAGGTATAAGGTTTAACTACCAAATTTTTTATGGCAACCCAGCCTAATGTATGCATATTGATTATTTCAAAAAGTAATTTGTCACAATTGCAAAACACTTTGTCATACATAAGTATTTTAAAAGCTCTTATCTGATAAACTTTTGCATTTTCATCTATCAGCGCTCCCATATATATACCTTCATAAAAGTGCCAGTACGTATCCCTGCAGTAAATCGCGCTAGTTCAAAACTAGCTTATTAAGAGGCGGTACTGGTTCTCGATCTATCCCAACGCAAAGCTTTCAGCTGTCTCTTTTTACATGGTGATATCCTATGAAGTGGAAATTGCCACCTGTACAGAACTTTCGAACAAGTTCTGAACTGGTTCCATTTTTCGGCAGTTCTGGGACAGTAAGTTTTTTGTGAGAAAAAATTTTTAAACTAAATTATTGGATTTTTTTTTCTTTTTTAAAAATGTTTCCGTTTTGGACAGATCTGCGACAATAAGTTTTTTATAAAAAACAAAAATAGTTATTATTCGATTTTTTGATATTTTTCAATTTTTTCTGTTCTTTCACAGATTGCATTTTATTTAATTTTTGTATTCTTTTATTTTATTTATATTAAATTTGATCATTTTCTCTTCAATTTTTAAGCGGCAACCAACAATTTAAATTTGTTAAATCTGAAAATCACAACTGCCTCCACGGCGATTTGAACTCCCGACCAACGATGTTAGAGTCGGAGGTCTTCCCGCTGAGCTATTTTAGTATTGTAAGAGAAGTGAGAATTTGTGCATTTACTTCTCAACAGAGCGCAACTAGCACTCCGAAAATTTCAACTGTCTCTCTCTGCATCCGTTTTGCACTAGTTCAGAGATAGTTCTGAAATGTGTAGGGCGGAACTAGAGCTTTAACAGACTGTCTCTAAATTTTACTGCAGGGTATACTACATATACACACGTTCACTTCCCCACCCAGATCTATGGGAATTAAAAATATGTTCATATGTATGTATGTATATTCATGGGTTTTTAAAACTACTTTTTCTCTGATTAGAACATTGCTTTTTAGGGCTACTGTACATATTTAGTATATAATTGCAAACACTTGCCTACTCTTCAAGCCTCTTAATTATGCAGAAGGTTTAAAATTGTTGTTTATAGAGGCATGTGTGGAGCAAGAAATACCGATTACTGTTGCCTTGCTATTTTTTAAGCATGTGCAGAGAGAAACACTTTTATAACTTTCATCATTTTTCTTTGAGGATTTTCTCGGATTTTTGGAACCGCTCAAATACTCTCGGGTCTTAGGATTCTGTGTGTTTACCACTAAGGGATTTCTGATGAAGTTTTGTGATTTTTTTGCAAAGTACTTCCGTTTACATTTTCGGGGTTTTTAAAGATCTTTTTTCGTTGCGATTCTTGGAATATGTTACCTCACTTTGGCTTTCCAAGACTCTTAAGAGTTTTTTGGAAGTTTTCGCAATTATTTCAAGGGCTTTAGTAATTGTTTCGGTAGTTTACTGAGCTTTTGGAAATTTCTCAAAATTTTTCGAAATACTTTCGGAACAACTCGTGACTAAGAGAACTTTGTTTACAATTTTTTAAAATCTTAAGGGCCGAAAAGTGCTTTTAAATAAAAACTTTTTTAATATTATAAATGCTTTAAAAATATCAATGTATCAAACAAACAAAAGCTTGTTTACAGCTACGCCCGCGTTAAGGTCGATTTAACGTTATGATCTCAAATGTTGTAAAAAAGAAAATAAATGATGTTACCGAAAATATATATATATATTTTTTAAGGTAAATTTGAGTTGAAAAAAAGTCTTTTTTTCAAGCTAGCTGCACTCAAAGTAGAATTTGTGTTTGTACATTTTAAGACATAAATTTGAGAATCAATTACGCAATCGGAAAATAGTCAGCTGAAAGTTCTGGAGACTGCATTCATGCTAGGTTTATGGAGCTTCTTATTGACTTCATTTAATGCAGTAAGCAAGTAAGCAAGTGAGTTGTAACCGACCCTCGTGGAGAATTCGATCAGTACGAAAATAAAGCTCTCTCAATTTCCACAATTCAAGAAAAAAAAAAACATTGACGCAGTGTAGAAGAAATTAAAATGTACCATTTGGTGAAAATGTCGGTAATGCTATTCAATTGAATGGCCGTGACAACTTCCGTGTGAATACTTTCATAGTTATCTTGGAACGTACTCTAGCAGAATTGACAAAAAGGCGCGAGGCATATCAAAAAATCTACCGCAAATTTTCTCTCCTCACTGACATGAAAAATTTGGCCAAACACTAACATATGTGTTAGCGCCAATCTAATAGTAGTAGTAGTAATTACCAGGATATTGTTGAATAAAAAAATTATTTAAAAGATTTGGTGCACTGTAGAGCAACAATATGTGTATTATTTAAAAGAAAAAGTTCTGTAGAGTTACAAAAACTTAATTTTTTTGCACCAGGACGAATAAATGTTGAAAATGTCCTTTTAAAACTTTATCCTTGAATATCCTTGGAAATTTCCAATATTTATTTTTGAAAAAATATATGTCAGGGACTAATATGTAAACTAGCACATCCTCGAATTTCATCCTTTTAACTTTATTAGTTTTAGATACAAAAATTTTACACTTCTCTTTATAAGATATTGATAGTTAAAATATACATAAATGAAGATATTAGAATCATTACACTGTACGGCACTCCGTTGGGTATTGGACCAAACTTTTTTTTTAAGAGATTGACTCATAGGTAAAATAGTAATTTCTCCGTTTTTCGAAACTGGTCTCCAAAATCGAGATATGGGCCTTCAAGTTCGAAATAGGATCTCTGGTAAAAAATTATTTATTTACTCTTATTTAAATGGTTTATAACTTTTTTTTGCAAAACTTATATTACAGGTGCTATGAGGGGGCAAAGGTCGGGTCTTTGAAAAATTAAAAACCTTATATTTCAAACAATTTTGAACTGAGTTTTAAAAAGTTGGTATTGTAACGTAATTAGACCCCCTTCTTCTCTTCTGATATGCATATTTGTATACTTTGTATGTAAAAATTTGAGAAAAAACATTTAAAAGAAAAAATACATTTTTTATAAAAAAAAATTGTTTAACAAAAATATTACTAATCGATTTTTAGTTCTTTCTTCTGATATGCGTATTTGTATACTTCGTGTATAAAAATTTGTGAAAAAAACACTTAAAATGAAAAAATACCTTTCTTATAAAAAAAATTTAACAAAAAAATTACTAACCGGTTTTTTAAAATTTGTTATCGTTGTAAAGCCGATTAAATACCCTTTCTTCTGATATGCATGTTTGAGTACTTCGAGTATAAAAATTTGGGAAACAACACTAAAAAGCAAAAAATACCCATTTTTATAAAAAAAAATATATAAAAAAAAAAATACAACCCGATTTTTTAAAACGTGATATCGTTGTAAAGGACACCAGAAAACTTATACTTTCTTAATCCCAAAAATTTCAATTTATATACACAAAGAAAAAAATTTTATTAAAAACTTTTTTCCCTCTATATAAATTCCACAACCCCCACAATTTTGAAATTTTGAATTAGAATATTTAGAAAGTTTTCGGCTATGCAGTTTTGTAACCAGCCACAACCTGTACAAAAAAAAAAATATAAAAAAACTAACGGTAATTTTTAACAACTTTGAACTTGCACTTTCTCATACTACAATTGAATGGAATACATGGAGTGCATGCTTTCAAAACAGTTGTTCAATAAAAATTTGACTGTGAATTAAAAAAATCACATTCCTCGTCGTTTGTGTTGTAAAGCTACTCGTATCAAGTGCAATAACTTCAAACATAAAGTGAATTAATTATCATTTAAAATTTTTTTTTTAGTTGGTGCACCTTATTTCCACCAAAAAAAAATAACAAAAAATCTTTGTAAATACATATGCGAGGATGCACGAGCACATACATATGTACGCAGTGGCGGATTTATCGTACAGGCAACATAGGCTGAAGCCTAGGGCGGCAGAATTAAGGGGCGGCAAAATTTAAGACAGCTAAATTAAAAGAAAAAAATTTATTTGGATTCAGCTGCACTTGAAATTGTGTTTGTGTCTGTAAAATATTATTAATGATTCATCTCATTCAATACAATTCAAAATTAGAATTACGCTGCGAATTTTTCCTTAGTATAGCAGTCGTTGAAATTTCCATTTAACTTTCATTCACGCGGCTTAGAAACCTGACGGCGCGCCTGCGCGTGACGCAA